TAAAATGATAAATATTCATGTGGAAGAGGGAGACCACATTAATATACTGGGATTATGAATCAATAAATTATCCACTGAGTGTGGTGAGTGCACATCTTTAACCCAGCACTTGAGGGGCAGAGACAAGCAGATCTCTGTGAGTTCAAGGCTAACTTGGCTTACATATTGAATTTCAGGTCAACCAGGGCTGTATAATAAGACCTGTCTCAAAAACAAGCAAGCAAGCAAAGAACCTCAACAACAACCACAAAACAAAAAATTATCCTGGTTATATTTTCCTTGTATTTTCAAATTTCATCTAACAAATTACTTTTAGGAGATTAAAAAAACTAATCCTTATTATCTTACAGGTCACAGTGTGTCAGAACAAAAACACCCTGGAGGCTTGGAAGTATTTTAGTCCTTGAAGAATCTGGTTGCGAAGACAAAGGGGAGGGAATCTAATTTTTAAGCGAGTGCTGTCCACTGTGGCAAGTATTTCTCCTCTGTCCTCAACACAGTCTCCTTAGTACTGCTGGGGCAGGGTGTGTCAAGCACTAAGAAAGCCCAATGAATAACAAGGAAAATCTGGCTGAGGTGGCAGTGCTGGGTGGGGTCAAGGTGTCTGCTTGCTTGAAAGGTGAGCACAACTCAACACTCGGTGTTTTGGTGCTCCCATACTGGATGGTGTCTGATGGTGTCCGCAGGTGTCTGTGGCTCCCATACTGGATGGGGTGCATTATAGAACCGGCCTGGCATCCCTGAAAGATCCATGTGACAGCACTGTTCTAAACATTCTGCCCCAGGCCTGAGAGACTCTGCTCTCACCTCTTGGTATACCTCTTCCTATTCTTCATGCTCTAGCCTGCTGAGCTGTCTAGGTCTCCTATCTAGAGAAATGTACCACCAGGTACATATTATGTAGCATAATATTTAGAACCTTCTTGGCAGACGCCTGGATATTGACCACACAGAGCTAAATCTTAGGGTTCAAAAAATTGAGGAGCAGTTCTACAGCGAAGGAGTGACCTGGTCCACCAGACTTTGTGATGGGCCAGGCCTGAGCCAGCTCTGATATGGAGCGGGTACTAGGGCAGCTGTGGTCTGCTGGAACTGCTGGAACAGGGTGTGTCAAGGACGGAGTCTGAGAAAGGCCAATTAAGGGCAGAACACCTTCCATTAAGGATTTTGGTTGGTTTGCTTTGTGAATTAGCAAATGAACTCTCTTACCCACCTCACTGGTGGTTAGAGTCCCACATCTTCTCCTTATCCCTACCCATGCTATGACAATGAAAAACTCCTCAGGGGTGCAAGCAGCAATAGGCTAGGAGGAAGGGGCTTGGCTTCGGGATACCCTTCCTAAGGCCATTATTACAGAATGATGATGAGAATCTGGACGAGACGGTGGTGCTGGAGTCATCTTGGAAGGAATGAGTCCACCTGGTAGAAGGAGACCCACTTCAAGTTACAGGAATGCCTTAAAGGTAGGAGTAAGCAGGGCATAGGCATGGCATCAGCCACAGCGGGAAGGGCGTGTCCGGCAGCAGCCAAGCTTCACCTAGGACCAAGCTGGCTCCTTAGGAGGACGCCAGTTAAGGAAGATAAGGCCAGGAGGGGCACGGGTAACCTGGGGAAATAGAAAGGACCTAGGAACTCTGCAGGGTAACCCCCCACACCCGCAACCCAGCCAGAGATGGGCGGGGCCAGAGGCAGCAGGTGTCCAGGCACCTGGGGTGTGAGAAGGCTTCCGGAGAGCAAGAGGCGCCTGTAGGGTATCCTTTTGGGGACTTGGGGATTCCGACCTTGTCCTTGAGCATTTAGAAGCCGGCAGATTGCGTTCTCCAGCCCGAGACCTCCCTGAGCCGTGGTGTGCAGGGCCTGTCACAGGGCCGAGGCTTCGGACGTTCACAGCATCTGCTGGCCGGACACAGGTTCCCCAGCCCTCCCGCTGGGCACTCCCTCAGCGTGGCCCAGCCGCTCTACCAGGCTCCGTGCCGACTCCCTTCCACGCCGCGGCCTCAACACGCTCTGTCCCCTCACACCGCCACCCCCCACGTGGCCTGCTCCCCGCTCCCGCCTCTCGAGGCTGTACCCCTCCCGGGCCACGGTACCTGGGACTCTCAAAGCTGCACCCCCTGCGCCGCAGCGCCGCCCTCTTCTGCCGCAGGAGCGCAGCAGCGGCCCCGCCGGGCTCCCGCTCCATCGCCCGGGGCGGGGGCCGACGGCTCGGGCACACTCGGGTGGGCTCGGGGCCTCGGCGGTATTCGGCCGGACGCTCAGCGAGCGCGCCGCAGCTCACGCCCCGCCCCGCACCCCTAGCCGGACCCCAAGCCCCGCCCCTGTCCTGCCCCAAACTCCAGCCCAGCCCGGGATCTCAGGCCCCGCCCAGAATGCCTGCCTAACCACTCCCTCACACTCTCTGTGGGGTCTAGGACCCGCCCCTAACTAGCAGGTCCCACTTACCATTCCACAGGCTTTAGGCTCCGCCCCTGCCTCGCTCCTACTCTAACTAACTGGTCCTCCACCACCACGCCTCTGGCCTGAGGCCCCGCTCCTTCTCTGCTAGTCCCCAGCACTACCACGCCTCTGCCTTTAGGCCTCGCCTCTGCCCCGCCCCTATCCTAGCAGGTCCGCCTCCTCCGCACCTGCTTTTTTTTTTTTTAATGATTTCTTTATTTTTGTCATGTACATTTGTGTTTTATCTGCACATATGTCTGTGTGACAGTGTCAGGTGCACTGGAACTGAAATTACAGACAGTTGTGAACTGCCATGTGGGTGCTGAGACTTGAACTCGCGACCGAGCCCTGCCCCTACCCTAGCTAAGCCCGCCTCATTTCCCTGGAGCTAGCCTCAGGCCCCACCCTGAGGTCTTGGCCCCGCCCCTGCCTCGCCCCTAATCTAGCAGGTCCTCTCACGACTCAGTTAGGTTTAGGCCCCGCCCCGCCCCAACCCAGCCCATCTCCTCAGTTGAGTTCAGGTCCCGCCTCTATCCCACCTTTGCCCCGCCCCAAACAGGCAAGTCCCCGCTCAGTTGCGCTCAGGCTCCGCCCATGCCCCGCCCCAAATACCAATCCAGGAGGCTCCCTTACCTATTATTGGGCTCGGGCCCCACCCCAAGCCCCAATCTAGTCAGTCCCTTTGCCCTTCAGTTTTACCAAGACCCCACCCCATTTCCTAGCCCAACCCGCCCCATGCCCTAGTCTGGGTAAGGCTCCGCCCCCAACCCGTTCTCCGCGTCCCTGGTCCTCCTTAGACCAGTGCAGACCCCACCCTGCCTCCGCCCTGCCTTTCAGCCACGCCCCTCCCGCGCCAGCCTCCGGGAGATCCTCTCCACTTGTCCTCCGTGCTTCTGTGTAGCGCACCCCAGCCCCCAAGCTCACCGCTCCTCACCAGCCCCACAGACCCGGGCTCCGCTCACCTACCCCTCCGACATAGAGCGCCCTGGCGGCTGTCCACACCACAGCTCCGCCCGCTGGCTTCTCGACCCGACCCTCACCTCAGCGCCTCCTGGTCCTTTCTAGCGTAACACCGCCCTCTTCTGGGGGCCGTCCTTCTCCACGTCCCGCCCACAGGCATGGCCCCCCGACCCTGGAGCTCCGCCTCTTCCCCCTTGAAGCGGGGGTCCGTTGTACTAGCTGCAATTCTGCGTCCCTAGAACCTGGGTACTCCTGCCCCAGAAGCCCTCTACTGCCCCGCCCACACCTCCTGCCCCGCCCACATATCGCCGCCTAAGAAGCCTCTTCCTTACTTCAGCTGGTGATGCGGGTCTTCCTGGCTGAACTGGCGGTCCACGATGAGGTTTGCACTATCTCAGGATCCAGCCAGCCAGCAGAAGGAGGCACTGCTGTCTCCTGGTGGCTGTTTGTGGTGTCTGACACAGTGAGGTGAGGGGGCTGGAGCTTTGGGGCTACCAGTTGTGGGTCCAGGTTCTCATTCATCACCTTCCAACTTTGTGACACCCTCCCCCATTTCCACCTGAGTCACAAGCACCGTCTTAGGGTCCTTGAATACTGCACTGTGCTTGGAAGCAGGAACTCATTGAATAAAACTAAGGATGGTTTTGCCATCTGTTTCTATTTAGGTTTCTGTTGATGTGATAAACACACTCACCAAAAGCAACTGAGGGAAGAAAGGGTTTATTCGGTTTACACGTTATAGTTCATCATCTGGGAAGCCAGAGAAGGAACTCAAGGCAGGAACGGAATCAGGAGCTATGAAGAACTACAGCTTTCTAGCTTGCTTCCCAGGCCCACCTGCCCAGGCATAGCAGCACCAATCCCCCAGACTTGTCCATAGGTTAGTCTGATAGAGGAAACTGCTCAGTAAAGAGTTCCTCTTTCCAGGTATAGCCCAGGTCTGTGTTAAGTTATGCATCGGGCTCTTTCAGTGTGGTCATGAGGTTCTGGTCTTCCTTGATGCTGCACAAGCAGACTGGAAAGGGAATGGATGTGTGCCTGGAGAGCCGCCATGAGGATCCCCAGCCTAGTTCTCTAGTTCATTATTGATCGATTGACTGATCTGTGACACACACAGCGGGCTTTCTCCTTGGTTCTTGCCACATGTTACTACTAGACAGCCTTATTCCCACGTTACTAACTACTAGACAGCCTTATTTTATACCTCGTCCTTTTCCTCTAGTCAAACTGGAGTGGGTTTGCTTTTTACCTAGTGTCATGACTTACTCCCAACATATCTTTTCAGACTGAGAGCTCATGTTGCCTGGAATCCTCCCTCGGTAAGCTCAGGTTGCCTGCTTTCCCCCAGGTACATCCTGTCCTCTCTGTCTCGCTGACCTCCCGCCCCTGCCTACAACCTCCATGTCCTTTTAGGAGTCCCCAGAGCCCTTGTCCTCCTCTCCGAGAGACCCACAGCACTACCCCTGCTCCCTCTTCCTTCCACACATTTGCACGCTAGTTGCTCTCAGCTGAGCCCTGGGCAGTCTGCACCTCCACCATGTCTGCACGTGACACTGGACTGCCTGCCAAAGGGGCTGTGTGGGACTCCAATAAATACAACGATATTCATTGGAAAACACATTTAATTTCAAAGTAAACAAAGATGTCTGCACATTAAAGTATTTAATTAGTGAAACAATTATTATCAGTGTAACAAGCTGAAAAATACAGCAACTTGATACAAGACTGAGGTAACAAAATACTTCACCAAAAATCTAAAGAATCCCAAGGAGGGATGATGTTCAGTGGTTATTGCAGATGAGACAATTTACAAATAGTAGAGAAAGTCCTTACACAACGGCATGCAGGGTCTGCTGGGAAAAGACAGCTTGGGAGGATGCAGCATATTTAACAAGAAACAAACTAAGATGTAGAAACTCATTTTCAGTTCACTTGGAAGAACACAGAAAGAAACTGAAAACTACCCTCTAAGCAACATTTAAATGCTAAGTGGGAAACCATGCATTTTGGCACGAAATTATCAAAGGTTATACCTCACTAATAAATGAATTGCTATTATTTAATTACTGAATGGTTATAGTCCTTCCAATAGGCAGAGGGTTTACGCCATGCCGCTGTGAGTGGGACTCTGGGACTGTCCACAGGACGCATACTTGTGCAGCAGCAGGTTACAAGGTGGACTGAAGTCCAAGTCCAAGTTCTCAGCTCCCAGGGACACGCAGCGCCCAATCATACTGTATTTGAACTTGACACTGAAGTTAAAGACTAAAAGGAGGGAGCCTGTGAATACTGCGAGCATTCAGACCCTACTCTCTCGTTCTGCCTTTGGCGTTCTCCCTGTAACCATTATTGAACACAGCTCTGTATCTGGCTGCTCAGAGTCAGCCAGAATCTGGTGTGAGGGATGGCGCTCCAGCTAGTCCTCCATGCAACTGACTCTCACAGAAATCCCATGCAGTCTATTTGGGTCTTCTCAAGATTTTCTGCAAGAACCAATGCACGAGATTTGTATTTGGGGTAGCAGAGAGCAGGGCTTGCCGAAGTTGGTGTGTGAGGTGGAGATTATTTGTTCATTGACTCGTAAGATCTACTAAGTGCCAAAATTGGAGTTGTCTTGTTTCTAGCCATTTTCATTCTTGGTAGAGTCTGATGTACAGGGAGTATTCACTAGAGAGATGAATGTTTATGCAATAAATACATTTTCAAAGGGGCTTTGTGCTGTCTTTTCTCTTCTTTTTTTGTAACATGAAAGCACCCAACGTATCACTATGACATAGGGCCAACTTAAGGGTCACACAGAAGGGAGCCCGTGGCTTTGGCAATATTCAGTAGAGGTTGCAAGCAGCCGCAATGCTGGTGCAGAGCTGTGGAACCCACCAGAAGAATAAAGCAGCCTTGGTTTATAAATGGCTTCCCAGTTTTACACATCATTTTCTATCTGAAAAAAAAATGGTATAAAAAAAATCCACACTTTTCTTAGGCTTGGGAGGTAAGAACAAAATGGTGGAAGAAACACTGGCCATCTTGGTAAGAAAGGCAGAGAGATCCGCTGGCAAGACAAGGTAAGTCCTTCACTAACAATTCTAGTGTGTCCACCTGCTCAGCATCTCACTCTGGCAAGCGCCCCATGGCATCTGGTCAGGGAAGGGGAGGGGAGGGACCACACTCTCCCACTGGCATGTTTAGGACAAGGCTTATGCTGCTTTCCACCAAACCCAGGCTGCATGCACAAAGCTTTTTGCTCAGCAGCATGCACTCAGCTGACCTTGAATTACAAGACTCATACACTGGAGAGGGACAGAAGTCACCCCATAGTGAGTGGGTGGGCTCTTCTTGGGACTTCACAATATTAGCAGCTGTCCACCCCAATTTCAGACACCATGCTACAGATTTCACTTTGGGGGCACCACAGTCTGTTTGCATGACAGTGCAAACCTCCAAATCTCACAGTATCTGTCTGCTAGGGAAGAGTCGAGCAAAGCAGAACTGCTTCCTTCCAGGCTAAGAGTCCACCAAAGGACTCCTGCCTCTGTCCCATGAAACCTGTAGGACAAGCCAGCACTGGGGATGCCAGCACTGAACTCATATGCTTGGTCTAAGGCCCTGCTTGAGAGCCAAATCTTTTAACCCTTTCTCCAGAGCTCTTCCACCACCTTCAAGGTTTTTTTTTTAACTAACAAAGTCCAAGTGGCTTCTTCAAGAGTCCTTGGTGAGGATGCTTCTGGGAGGGGAGTCTGGTTTTAATTAGGGAGATTAGGTGATTTAAAAATAATTGTGATTGTGCTCTTTCAGATTAGGCCCAAAAGAAAACACGTGTGCTGGGTAAGACAGGTCTGTAAAGGGCAGAAAGTTCTGAGTGGAGACTGAAATTCTGGGGCTTTTGATGTCTGCTCTTTCATGTGTGAGAACCCAAAACAAGCTGAAGAGTGGACAAGCCTAACGGAAAATTATAGCTGATGTTCCGGTCTTACAGCTCTATCCAAGCTTCTAACTTCAAAAGTTAAAGGGCAGGATCAGGGTGGGTGTGGGTTAAAGGATGACCATGACATGGTTCTAGTCAGAGATGTCTGCAGTGTTTGGCATTGCCATTCTTCTGGATTCTAACTGGAAGAGAGGTTGGTAGAATCTGGTGAACACACCTGAACCCCTGGCATGGGCAGATATGCAAGGCAGCTGTGGTCAAGTTTTGATGCCATTGACTTTATCACCTGGAGTCTCTCTGGCATGAAAATATCCAGGCTCTGCTCACAGGAAGTTTAGCTTCAGAAGACAGCAAGGCTTGACCAAAACATACCTCCACGGTAATGACAACTTCCTTACCAAGTCGTTAGCATTTTATAGAAGTATCACTGTTTGGTTGTAAAACAGTAGTGGGTTTTCTGGTGGTGAGTTCACGGTTATGGTGTTGTTTGAAGCTTCTTGATTATCGTTGGAAGTTCTTTGGGGTGGTTTGATAACTGGTTACTGTGTAAAACCCTGATACCCACAGGAACCCAGAAATTCAGCCTTTTGCAGAGAATTGTTTGAGGATTTTCTTCCCAGTGCAGGAGTGCCGAGATTCAAGGGGGAAGGGGGAGGGGAAAGGGCGTCTGTAATGATAAAGAGCAGAATTAAAATGTGTGAATGAAAGCCACCTTACGTATGACAAGAGGTCAGAGAGATCCTTGTTCGTGGTGCAGACACTGGAGATCTCACTCCCTAGGTCTTGGCTCTCTTGTCACCTGGCCATCAACAACTGGGTCCTTGGACTTGGAGAACACGCTGGTGACTACATTTAGGGGCAAGACTGAGGGGGCTTAAGGCCTCCATGTCACTCAGCTCCCTGTGATCAGGAATCAGTTTGGCTGCCCTGGCAGTGGTGGCAACGGGGTGAGAAGACAGGAGCAGAATTCTGCCCTGTGGGAGAATATGGGGTGGAGTAGCTTCTACCCAACTGATCACTGTGGGGGCCTCCAAGCTGCTGGGAGAAAAGGCCACAACTTCCCATGCCAGTATGGTGGGAGCGGGCGAGATGAGGAAGGCCATAGGTCCACTAGGAGAGCTCATGGTGGGGAACAAGCAGGCCAGTGCTCCAGTCCATGGTCCTGAGACTGACTCTGCCTCAGGAGAGCTGACAATGACAAGACCCAGGAGGGCCAGATGAATAGCACCCATAGGAACAGAAAACAAGACACGATTTAAGGCATCGTTTGTTTACAGTAAAGGAATTCGAGGGACCCTTAACACAGAGCTTCTGGACTCCTTCAGACTCTTCTTACAGGACGAGGCTGGAACTAAAGCTTTAAGCAGGGCCTCAAAGCCATTATTAAGTGTGTGATGTCACAAGTCTTCTGCCAAAATGTATGTTTCTCAGAGAGTTCACACTCACTCGCTCACACACACACACATGTATGGCACACACACACAGAGGATGCTTTGGGGGTAAACAAAATCTGAGGCGGCCCTTGGGTGAGCAGCCCGTGCACTTGGGGTGTAACAAGCCTGTCCAACAGCCTGTCTCTGCTCTCCAGCCCTCTCAGGGGTTAATGCCATCCACTTTGTGTGCAGAAGAAAGCACGGAGAACCCAACGTGGGTCAGATGCTCCCTTGATGCAGAAGCAGCTGGTGGACAGACGACGGCCCAGAGATGGGGCATAGGGTACGCAGTTTGGGGTCTGACAACCACCCTGTAGGGTGGGGCTGCAGGATGAGTCATGAGAGTCGCTGTGGGTTGACAGGTGGATCTCACACTGGGGAGCCATCCAGGACTGTGAGGCTACAGGCCATGTTCCTCGAGTCCAGCTATGAGGCTCCAGTGCCTTGGCCCACGGCTTATGCCCAGAGCTGCTCTTCTCCACCAGACCTAGTCCAGGCTCCCAGAAGCCTTTGAAGTCACGCCAAGTCCTGCAGATACTTATTCAAATGACATAAGGTTTGCAGGTACCTAAAAGAGAAAGCTCATTTGCTTGTCAAAATTTCAACCCCCAGAAAGGGGCAGGGGTTGTTCCTGCGGTTAGGGCCATGCAAGTGTGGGGAGGGAAGAACATGGCAATGGTAGCTGCCGCTGACCACTGACTGCTGTGTGCCAGGCATTACTCTACTTCATATGTGGTGTCTTGAGACCCCATATGACCTCTATTAGGCAGATGCTCAAACTGTCTCCATTATGTAGATGAGGAAACTGAGGCTTAGACAGGCTAAACATAAAGTGAGCCAAGAACCAGGGCTGGGGCCTGAACCCACATCCCCACCACCATGGGCCCTGATGAGGTACAGGGAATGCTGGGGGATGTCATTAAGGGATGGTAGGGAGTGGCACAGGAGGGGGAGAAAGTATGGAAGGTCATGAACCCCAATCCCTTCTCACAGAGGCTACCAGCCCCGCTGTCATAGTATTTCCCTGCCCTCAGAGCTGCCTCCAGACCCCCAGCTTGAACTTCCTCCCTTGGCACTACTGGAATGTTCTAGGTTGATTAGATATGATTCCATAAAAAAAAAACCCATCTTGGTGTCAGTTTTGCCAAAATGAGAAATCAGAAAAAGATGCACTTCTGTACCAGGAGGCATTTCTGTATCGGGAGGAAGTTCCAAGAAAGTTCATAGCCTTAAACCTCACGGGAGCAAGAAACGGGGAACTGGTTCTGAGACAGCCAGCAGAACTGACAGAGAAAAGTGGTACAACAGTGGCCAACATTGCTCAACCTCCAGACTAGTGCAGAGGAGCAAATAGCAGGTCGGAATATACAGCCATGGCTCTGTCATTAAAGGAGTTTTTTAAAATTGTAAGGAGGGCTGGGGTGTAGCTCAGTGGTATAGCTCTTGTATGCAGGTGAGCCCTGGATTTCTCCCGGGAATAAAATGCAGCAGGGACATAACATGCTAGGAGAAGAAAAAGGTTCTGGGGAGGAAATCCAGCATTATGCCCCTGACTGCAGGGGGCAGGGAAGGTTTCAGGACCTGTGTGGGGGTTCTAGGTTTTGGCTGGGTGGAGGTATATGGGTGTTTTTCTACTGCTGTTTTTGGCTGTTGTTTTATTTGGCTGTTTGTAGCTCAGGCTGGCCCTATGATCTTCCTGCCTCAGCCTCCTGAGTGTCACCACACTGATGTGGGAGTTTCATATATCAATCTGTTGATTTCATTGGTTAAGCAATAAAGAAACTGCTTGGCCCTGTGGGTGGAGTAAACAGAACAAAATGCTGGGAGGAAGAGGAAGTGAGCTCAGTCTCGACAGCTCTCCTCTCGGGAGCAGACGCCTGAGAGAGACACCATGCCCCGCTCCCGGGATGAAGCTCCGACCCAGGATGGACATAGGCTAGAATCTTCCTGGTAAGCGCACCTTGGGGTGCCATACACAGATGATTAGAAATGGGCTAAATTAATATGTGAGAATTAGCCTAGAAGAGAATGGGCCAAGCAGTGTTTAAATGAATACAGTTTGTGTGTTGTTATTTTGGGCATAAGCTAGCCGTGCAGGCGGCTGGGGTGCTGGGGACGCAGCCCCGCCGCCCTTATTACTACACCACACCTAGCTCTACTACTGTTGTTTGTATCTTACACATGCATTATAAATCAGCCTAAATAGATTCAGTGTCAGAAAGAAACAATTTTAAGACGTGCAAATAGAAACAGTCTTCATGGCAGATTCCACGCGGAAGGCCGCACCTCTCCGACACTCTTTCTTGTGCACTGAGTTGTCTCTTGGGCACACAGGCACTGTTCTTTGTTGTCATGGTTGTTGTTTTGATTTTTCAAGACAGTTTCTATGTATCACAGTTCTGTTGTCCTGGAACTCACTTTGTAGACCAGGCTGGCTTTGAACTCACAAAGATCTGCTTGCCTCTGCCTCCCGAGTGCAGGGATCAAACGTGTGAGCCACCACATGAGTCACAGTGACTGATTTAAGTAAGCCTCTACCACTGAGTACTGAAGTTGTCTCCATATTTTATACACCACAGAGTATGATGAAAGTGGATTGGAAATAAAAAGGAAACAAGGCATAAAAAGAAAATTCATTTTCTAGGTCTGAAAATTGGACACATACATGGCAGAACTTTGCCATGACATGCCATATTTGACCGAGCATGAAATCCTGCCTATGAGTCCTTTGGACCACACGCCAGTCTGCCACATGGACTTGCTGTACTTTCTTGCAGCTGTTCCTCTCCTGAGCGCATCCTCACTCAGGCTCCCCTTGCTGCTCTGGCTGAGGCTGTCTCTCTCCCCAGCCAGGACCTCCCACGTGTGGCTGGTGAGCTTCAGTGTGCTGTGCTAGCTCAGGGGTAACAAAGGAGCATGGGGCTAATGAGGCCAACCTGGAAGACCCAGCTTTTGCTCCTGACAAAGCTTGCTGTAGCAGTAACCTTGTTCAAGCTTCAGCCTTGTTCCCTCTGGTTGCCTTGAGATGGCAGTGGCCCAAGTCACAGATCCTCCCAAAACAGAGATGGGCAGCGATGCTGATTTAATACGTAGAATACAGTAAGTAAACTGGGCTGCAAGTGTAGCTCTGTGGCAGAGCAATTACCTAGAATGCTTGTGGCCCTGGGTTCAACCTCCAGCACTGAAAATGACTGTCTATTCATCTACCTCACAGACAAACACATATATGCAAACACTCTAAAACTATAGAATTATACTCTCTTGTATGTCATTGTAGAAGTTTTACATGAATATGCTCATATCCATACAGGAAATATTGACATAAATTTAAAAACAAATGAGATCATCATCCTTGCCTATGCCACGGCCATTTGGACCTCTCTAGACCCGCTGCTATCTTGCTGATGGCTATCTGGTGTTGCTGAGGAATTTCTGGCAGGCTAGAGGTCTCTGGTGTTTTGTTTTTCTCATGAATGGTGACACAGTGAGCTTGCATGCTTTAACATAGAGTCTTTTGTTTTGTTTTGTTTTTTGAGACAGGGTTTCTCTAGAGCCTTTGAACTAGCTCTGATAAACCAGGCTGACTTTGAACTCACAGAGATCCACCTGCCTCTGCCTCCTGAGTGCTGGGATTAAAGATGTGAGCCACCACACAGGGAGTATGTCCTACAGCCCCACAGCCCCACAGTCCCACAGGCAAATCCAAGTGTAGCTTACTTTAGGCCGCCTTGCAATTATCAGTGCCGCTCACATGGCATGTGGGAAGCAGGAAGTTCCAACCTACCCCCACTTTGTGCTGAGGCTGGAGGCTGCCATTCCTGCCACAGGCTGAGCCAGCAGGGGCCCTGCTCCTGGCTCTCTTACACAGTGACAGGGACTCTCAAAAAAAGTGGAAGTTGGAGAGCTCAGTTTGGAGCTACAAGGTCAGAGGTGGGAATCAGGTGACCCTGAGTTGAGTCCCAGCTCCACACTCATTAACTATGGGACCTCACTTTTGAGCCTCAGGCTCCTTGGTGTACAATGGAGACAGTAAGAGGACCTGTGTTATAAGGACATGGGAAGACTCTGACAATGGCTGCCTGTGGAACCTTCTGAATGATGGTTGACAAGGAGAGGGGTAGAAGCGCAGAGGAAGAGGTTCCACCAGTCTTGCCTGGCAAATGGCTGGCCCTAAATGCCCTAATTGTTAGTAGTACACTCGCCAGGGTAGTGGACGGAGAGACCTATTAGTTATATTGGGGTATTCCAATGAAGTCAGCTCCGGGGAACAATCTAACTAGATGCTAGAGCTAAATCACTGGCTGGTGTCACACTTGCCCCGCACTGTCCCTGACTGGATATGTCTGTGGCAGTTTCTGCACTTAAGGGTTTCTGGTGAGAAACAGGATCTGGGAGACGTTACCTGAGGCCTGTTGCTTTTACATGCATCATCCAAGTGCTTGTGCCACAGTATCGCATGAAACCGGGAGCCCGTCTGGAACTTGTAAACATTGCCTGATGGGGAAAGGAAGCCCTGGTTAAGGATGCACAGGAGGGCTGGTAAGTAAGAAAAGCTGCCACAGTCCAGGGTGAGCAGGTATCTTTGGACAAGGTTTTGAGCACTTCTCAAACCAATGTTTCCAAATGTATGAGGTACAAAGAAAATCACCGATAGCGAGTCTTTGCATGTCTCTGTACTCACATCTAGTACCCAGGGCTGGTAGCAGGTCTAATATCACACAGGGATTTCAAGATGAATACCAAGGAGGTTCTGAGATGCCTGCAACCATGCATGCTATGGAAATGCCTCTCATTACTCCTGGGGACAAAACTCACAGTAGTTCTGAAATTCTGTCAACTCATGTTCATATTCATAGTAGAAGGAAGACACCATTATTTGTAACTGAAGACCAAGATATAATTTTTCATGTCCAGCTGATAGACCTATTTAATTCTACCAGTGGGCATTGCCCCCAGACCTCGTGTCACCTTTCTCTCTGCCTGGAGGTACTGCTTTCATCTAAGACAGTGGCTCACAACCTGAGGGTCACGAGTCCTTCGGGGTCGCATAGCAGGCATCCTGTATATCAGATATTTACATTACAATTAATAACAATAGCAAAATTACAGTTAGGAAGTAGCAATGAAGTACTTTTATGGCTGGGGTCACCACAACATGAGGAACCATATTAAAGGGTCTCAGCATGGAAGGTTGAGAACCACTGCTCTAGGCTTAAACAAGAGTGGCCTGTGGTTCCCATGGCCACAAAGGCTCACAGTGGAGCTTGTGTGGACATAGCTGTCTTTCTTCCTGATGAAAAAAAAAATCACTGGCCCTGGCCAAGGCTGCTGGGGAAGACGCTCCAGTGCTACCTGAGTAAGGACACCTGTGTGAGTAGCAGACATGCACCAGTTTATCCCATTTTAGAGCAGAGAACAGTCTACTGCCTCTACCTGCAGAGCTCCTGGAGGCAGCTGGGTGCCCATATTTCTCAGCTGCAAGCATGAGAACATGACACTTACAGTCCCCTGGTCTGTACTGCTATCACCCTTCCCAGGGAACTTGCTAGAAATGCATAGTCTTGGTCTCCACCCAGATCTACAGCCCCAAAATCTGAATCTCAATAGATCCCAGGAAGACCAGCCTGTGCTTGAACCCTGTACTCGAACGTTCCTGTCAGTTAGGTGTGAGCACGTACAAAGAGTCTGCTGTTACAGCAAGCTCACGTGCTGTGGCTGTTGGCTTTTTGTTTGGTAACTTGGGCTACCCAGGAAGCTGGCTGTAGACTGCTGGGCATGTTAGTGAGGTCCCTGGGTAAGATGGTACTGGAACCTCTCCCTCCTCTTAGCAGGCAGGGCCAAGGGAGGATGGAACCCACAGGGACTGAGAGGGAAATGGGGAACATTGAGCTGGAGCTTTTGGAAGTTGCACAGGTTCTTCTGAGCTCTGGACCTTCGACCTGGACACTGTGCAGTCTCACAGTAAAGCTATGCCAGGGGTTCCTGAAAGCCAAGCCCCAGACTATTCTGGCCCCAAGGTTTTTCCTCATCTAGCATTGATTGCTATTTACCTAGACCCTTGGGGTCACAGATTGAGGAACGATAGACCTACTAAGTCAAAGGCTAGGCCACTCTTATGGCTCAATGGGAACATCAATCAGAACTAAAACAGCACCAAAGACTAGACTGGACGCCAGGCAAACCTAGCGTGAAGGGAAGATGGTGAACTCGGAGCTCCCAGAGCTCCAGGGTGTGTATCTGGTCAGAGGGGGAAGAGAGGTGCTGGCTCAGTCTGCTGCCCACCTTTGTCAGGGTTATTCAGCTGGAAGATATCCGGGTGTTCAGGGTCATCGGGCAGCTGCACCATCCAGCCTATGATGGAGACCTTCTTTCCAGGTGTAGATTTATACTAGGAAAGAGCAACAAACAGCTGGGAGCTGGGCCCACACCCTGCCCTCAGCAAGGGAGACTAGTGTGGGCTAGACAAGTGTCCTGCCCACCCTAGCCCTTGTAGCCACAGGGGTCACTCCACTAGAGGAAGTACAGCAAGGCAGTCTTTTCAGGGGACTTACGTGTTTTCTGTCTGTGCCCCGCAAGGACTTGGCTCCATAGTATAGGAGGGTGGATCCTGAGAGTACGACCCAGTACCTGGTCCACGAGGACAGCTGCAGAAGTATGGGGAGGGAGTGGCTTTAGGCTGCCTGATCATGATATGGTTGGTTGTCCCCATTTATGCCAACCCAGCCCCCCCCCCACTTTCTCTGGCCCCCTGACATCACTTTGCGGTGCCATCTCTATCCAGCTCCAGGAGATCATTTCTCCCCTTTTACTCGTTCCTTTCTACACCTTGTGCCTCAGTGTATAAATTCTATGTATTAGGGGAGTTGGGCCCCACAGTGTTCCAGGAAAGAAAGGCATGCTAAGCTATGCCAAGTTGCCGACTAGAAATTGAATGCTTGCAATGGGTTTTTCTGGATAGACTGAGAGCTGAATTTTGAGGGCTTTCTGCTGGCTGGGCCAAGCTGGGACTTTCACTGGAACTCTCCCATTCTGGGAGGAAAGGACTGTGTGTGCCTCCCGGGAGCGGGTCATCTGGCAGCAGGATATAGTCCTCTTCCTAGTGGGAGCAGCTGTGTCAGTCTTTCAGGCCTTAGTGACACCACAGGGTGCACAGCAACAGACACGCATGCTCAAGTGAAAAAGCTCACGGCACATTCACCCCTACTGTTTGTGAGGAACGCGGAATCCTGGTCTCCTCCATTCACTTGAAAATGTTAGTCCCTGGCCATGAGACTGCTTAGTGGATGACGGTGCTAACCTAACGATCTAAGTGTTATCCCTGGGACACAAGTGGTAGAAGTGTCAAACCAACTGGTGTGGTTTGCCCTATGACCCACTCTGTACGTGCGGATGTGGGATGGAGAGGGAGTAAGTCTATACCATGGGACTGACTTGGGGCCCCATGCCATAGGAGGCTTCGAGTGTAGCCAGAGCTGGGGTGGAAGCTTTCCACCTTATCCACCATCCAACTATCCAACTGGTAACTAGAGACAGACACTCTAGAGTGCCTGCAGGGGGCAGGTGACAGGGCCCTGGCATCTTCCCGGCAGGTGGTATCTCCAGACAACTCTGTGGCGGGACAGATGGGCAGAGCAGATGCTGTGAGGAGAGGCAGCTTGAGGATGAGACTGACACACAAGGAGCTGAAGCTCTGTCATGTGGGGTCATGGTGGCTGTGACATAAGAGTCCGACATGAAGGCTGGTGGCGACCTGAAGCAGCTCCTGACACCTTGTCCCATGCACTTCCCACTGGTGCTAGTATGCTGCCAGGGAGTGAGGACTCTACACAGGAACACCACATAGCAACCAAGGTACTGCAAGTCATGCTGCCTCCTGGGGGTGTGCAATCCTCTTCCTTCCAAGTGTCCAGGCCTCACCTGCTCTCCAGACCACCACAGCTCTGGCACTCTGCCACAGATGGCCTCCAGGAGATGAAGCTTCATCTTAAGTCACAGACAGAGAAACTGAGGCCGTTTTCCCCTCAGTGGTACAGTCAGGGATAGGAGTCTGGTTGGCAGATCTCTAGACCAGGCTACTCCCTGAGCCCACAATGCCTCTAGTGGGTGTATGTGTGACTTACTGCAGGCTTCCGGCCTTCCTTGAGCAGGGTTTTCCGTCTCAGAGGTCCCTCCATAGTGGGCACAGTGGCTGAGCTGCCCACAGTACATGTGCAAGGGCTCGTGGGGCTGAAGGGAGACTGTCAGTTAGATACGGTCCCAGAGCAGCTGATATCTGATACCCTCCCACCCACTATGTCTTCCAGGTGCCTCACTTGTGAGTCTTTGATGTCCACATAGTCAGAGGTCTCTCCAGGCTGGGTCAAAAAGCCATCTAAGAGCAGGGTGAACTCCCAGAGAATACCCACCAGGTTTCCATGCCCTGCCCTACCCTTTGCTTCCTCCTAGCTGCTCCCCTCACTCATGCCTGTGAAGCCTGAGCTCTTGCAGTCCTGCTCCGGCAACCCCTCTCTCATGCGAGCAGGAGAATGCAAAAGTAGACGGGTACAATGGAAACGAGGGACAGGAGCTCTACACTGCCATCTGTCCTCTTTCCTCCTGGCTCTTCTTGCACCCTCTCCCTTGAGATCAAGTGCTCTCATAGGTGACAATATTCAAGTTCTGTCTTGTGCTCCAGACTTTTGTGCTGCTGTTTACTGGATGTCCACAGGCACCTGGCTCAAGTTGGTCACCAAGCCATGTTCTGCAACCTAGTAAGTCCCAAGGATGTAACCATGTCTGATTGTCCATCCTACCTCTCTGCCAAGGCCACGACATCTTCCTTTGGATGATAGCCTAATCTGTCTCTGGTGCCTGCTTCCATTCCTGCCTCTTCCCATATACTCTTCATCCACACAGTTCTTATTCTCCACCAGGCCTCTCCCTGGGGCCTGCTGCTCCCGAGAGGCAGGTAAGGTCCTTGTCCCTACTGAATGTGGCACTGCCCACCTCCCCAGCCTCGCCTGAAGCCCCTCTCCTCAGATGTCTCACAACGCAGTGGTTCTTGTTCTCACTGAGCCTCACAGCCTCAGTGTCTCTGACTGGGAGCTCTGGCCCTGTGAAGCCCCTCTCCAGTTATCTGGCTAATTCCTATCTTCCTGCAGTATTATTTCCTCTACTGGTTCCTCCTCTCTCCCAGAGGGCCCCATACCTCTCTGGAGCAATGGGAGCACCAGGCAGACTTATGATCCACTTGGCACAGAGTTTTTCCCCTAGCAAACACTCCAAAGCTACCTGTCAAGTGAGGACATGAAAAAATGTGTACCTGTAGACACAACTCCTAGTTCTGGGAGAATTCCGAACTGGAACCCGCCAGTTGGGCCCTAGCGTGGCGTAGAGACGTCCCCTGCTTCAGAGGAAAAGGGGTGAATTTTAGTCACAGTCTGGAAAGACCAGCTGATCCTGAAGGAGGTAGGAGCAAAGGCAGTAAGGTCAGCCCAGCCCCTTCCCTCTTCCTCCTTGGGTTCCTTGCACCCACTGCAAGCATCACATCACACCTGGACAGGGAACCCTGTCCCACATCTCCATCTGGGGAAGCTCCTTGGTCTCACGGGACTAGTTCATAAGCATTTTGACTGTTTACCCTTCTTCCAGATTCTCCCATGTGAGTCTCTGAGCTGTTTAACAGAAATGCCATGTTGTCCACGGGGTTCATGTTTAAAGTATACACAGACATAAAATGGTGAGCAATCTTGCACATCTGGCCAGGCCACATAAAATAAAGCATTATATTCACCAGGCTGTTTCTGGATCATGTTGCTACACTTAATCTCTGAACTGGCTATTTGCTGACTCCCGTGTCCCTGAAACTGCCTCTGGAACTTGATGGCATTGAGGACTCTGGTTCTAGGGCCTCCCCATAGGCTTGGCCTAGCTTCACTCTCACCTGCTCCTGAACCAGGAACCTCTCTAGGGGTGTGTGTCACTTCCAGCTCCACCTCTTTGGTGGGGGAGCACACACTAGCTTGTTCTATTCTTTCCTGACCCTGAGGCATACTCTGTCTCCACCTACAGCTTCTCTGCTGGATGGCCAGCCGATGACACAACTGTCTGTATAAAGTCCAAGTCTAGACTTATTGTTTAGATGTGCTCTGTTATCTGCAGCTATCCCTGGGCTGTTGCTTACTGCCAATGAACACCCTGACTGCAACCATGAATATTGTTATCAGCTAAGAAGAAACTTCTGATGGCCATGTTGAGTCTACTGGACAGGGGCCGAAGTTCAGGGCTGGTCATTTGTTTGGAGGCTCCAGGATCCTCCTGTTTATCCACCCCTGCTCTTTAAATGCTTGTTACCCCAAGTCCTCAAGGTACCCCAAGTCTTAGGATGGTCACAGGCTGATGCTGCTCTACTGTGTAGTGCTAACAAGAGAACTGGTACACCCAGCGCCCAGCCCAGCGACCACACTGTTCCCTTCTCTTCCAACCACAGCAGGTTGGCTACACATCCATACACCTCTTCCCGAGATCCACGCATCTGCTGTATTTGCTGACAGGTAGAACATGTAGATGTCACCACCACTGACCGTTCCTGACACATGTCCAACCCCAGACCACCAAGGGTAGCAGCAGGGTAGGGCCTAGCCCTTGCTGAACATCCCAGGCTGCTGTCTTCCCTGGCCAGCAACAGGAGCTGGCTCTGACCACAAAGGTTTCTGAAGTGCTGTCCTCTGAAGCTCTCTTTGTTGTTAGGACATGCCCTTCCTCCAATGGTCAGGACTCTGGCAGGAGCAGAAGCCCCCGTCCACCAGCCTCTTGAAGGTTGTCTCCCTGCTATTCTAGGGTGGTAGGAAGGTAAGACTGTCTGAAGTTGCCAGTCACTCAGGAGCAGGGTGAGGAGCAGGAGCCAGAGAGCAGCCTGCAATCCACTTCTTTCAAGTAGTCCAGTTTGGAGGCCCTTTGCAGAGGAGAGGTCCAGTGTGAGGGACAATGTATGCACAAAGACTCAAGCGCTGGGTGCTCATCTGCATCGGGCCCCTGTGCTCACGCTCACCGAGCTCGTCCAAGCACCATTATATTATCCTTCCCAGACGGAGAAACTGAGCTTTAGCAACGAGGATCTACTTGTCCAAGGTATAGCCCCATAAACAAACTGAACCCAGGTCCATTTGACTCTACAGCCAACCCCTCACTTGCCAGGAGACTCGACTTTTTATAACTGAGAGGCTGGGGCTGGTGTGGTGGGGACCACACTACATTTGTGTGCGCCTTGCTAGCACTCTACTCTCATAAGTGTTGCTGCTTTGAGCATCACAGCTTCCACATGTGCCCGTGTCCATGAGGCTAAAGGGCCAAGACAGTCTGAGGTCTGAAACTCTTCTCAATCCCCATGCTCTGCAGGGGGCTGCCCAGCACTTCAGAGTCACTGTCTTGACAGCTGCTTACCATGTGCCACCTACCTGCTTCCAAGAGCATCCACACAACCCTACAGAAGGGGTGCTGCCCTCAGAGCTAAAGATGAGAACACAGGCTTGAGGAGACACTGGCCTGCTACTGAGATGGAAATGCAAGCGTTCACAGAGAAGGCCTGCTGCTGCCATGGGATGAAGGGCCTCACTGTCCCACAGGGTGGATACCACAGCCTATCCCTGGAACCATGTGGCAAGCCCAGGTGAGGAAGGGCAGCACAATGGTGGCCTTTTCGCACCTCTTAGGAGACAAGAGCCAGGGCAGTATCTACCCTTCTCTCCCTGTGAGCTGGGAGATGGGGCTTGGAGTAGCCAGGTTCATCCAGCACAGGAGCCAGACAGCCTGTTCCCTCCCCCACTGCCCTAAAATGACACAAAATGCAGAACGAATGGACAATAACATCTAAGGAGCCCTAGAAATCCTAGGCTCTCTCCTGGGATTCCCAACTCCAGAGTCACAGGCATCTTTCCTAGGATCATTCTGGGAACATGTAGCTGAACACACATTCAGGATGGCTCTGAGGTACACCAGACCAGAGGCTCATGGGAAGTTTGCTCTAGGGAAGATGTAGGCAAGCAACCAGACAGACAAGCTTATCCAACAGGGTTCATAAGACAACGATGAGGACAATAGTGATGGTGATTAGATGAGATGGCAATAAGGAGGTGGTGGAGAGGATGGTGGTAGTGAAGATGGGATGGTGGGTGCCAGGCAATGCACTCAGCAGTATTCTTCACTGTCTCGTTTAACCTACTAGGCAGGCACTGTTCCTAGCCTGCCTTGTGCATAAGAGACTTGCAGATGGGGACTCACTTGCCCAAGGCCACAACACTAGAAAAGGAAGCCAGGTGGAAGCAGCCTGTACAGCCCGATGAGCACGTGGGCTGAGCAAGACGTTGGGTCCTAGGCTGGCATCAGGTTGTGGGCATCTCAAAGTTGGAATTCATAAGGCAGCAGAGGACGGGGAAACAAGAGACATCTTAGCTGACAACTGTATCTAGGCCCTAGGAATCTTGGTCCTAGCGGAAGTCATCCCCCCACATCACTTTCCTGTCTCAAATACACAGTGCCCCACTGGGAGTGATTTGTGGAAAAGCCCTCAGGGTGCTGTGCACCACAGCACTTACTGCTCTGGCCAGCCCTAGAGGAACTGTTAGTCCCATTGGTCACTCTCATCTGAGGGTAGGAAATGCCAGCCTAACTCCTGATGAACCCTGGGATAGCCCTTCTTGCAACCCCATTTGAAGACCCTATGCTCTCCTGGTGCACATGCCCTTTTTGGGGGGGTAATGTCCTGGAGTCACTAAATGAGTTCCTAGGAACCATACTGGTAAAACACTGCATGTTTCGCTCCTGGCCACTGGGACTTAGGTCAGGCTGGAAATCTGGCCCAGTGGCTGGGAAAAGCTACCCACTTGGGCCTAGCCACTGTACGGCATCCAGGATGTCCAGAAGTCTGGTCTGCAGTGGGAACAGTGCGCACCACAGACATGTAGCAGGAAAGACAGGCAGATAGACAGGTAGGCTTCTCCATTTCTAGTCACTGGCTCTGAACGAGTCAGAGATGGAGAAGCTGTGGGTTCTCCATGAAGCAGCTGCTGACTGACAGGACCCAGCCTTGACTGCAAAGGCCAAGGACAGGGTCAAGTTCCACATTCAGGCATCTTTGCCCGTTCTTTTCCAGAGGAGTCTGCCAGGAGCCTCACTCATCTCTAAGGGAGTGAGGCAAGACACAGTGTCTTCAGAGAAGCAAACCAGCCAACTGGGCAGAGAAGCCCAATCCAGGCACACAGGCGAAGTTAGAATTCAGGGGTCCCTAGTGAGGGATGAGAGCCCGGGAACCTGGACCTTGAGTTCTGTCACTCACACACATGGGGCACAGCAGAGGCAACCCTTAGTTCCAGAGCTGGTCTATTTCTCTACCAATACTGCAAAGCTTGGGGCTCAGGAGATCTTGGCACACCCGGGGCATCTCCTCAAGTCCTCTGACTCTAAGGAAGGACATGCGCATGTTTATCTATAAACTGTTCTGGGGGTGGCAGATGTAACATTCTGTTACTACTATGGCTCCACCTGCTGGCTGCTCTTGTAAGGATGGTGGGGGAGTCCACTAGCTAAGATCAACAGGAAACATCACCCAGGGGAGGCTGCACCAACTATCTTCCTTGGTACCTACAATCACCCACAGGCCAACTACCTTCAGAGAACCCTCCCCAGGCCAGTGTCCCCTGAGAAGCCAGTCCATACAGACTCCATGAATGGCCACTTGAGGAGTGTCTCCCCAGTTGAGCCCTTGCCTCTGTAGCTTTCTTGCTAGACAGGAGTGCTCACTAGGGTGCTCACACATCTACACCAACTCCGCCAGCAACAGCTCTACACATATGCTAAGCAGTGAGTCCCCAGCAGAGGGACTGAAACTGTCTAAAGCAGCGGTGCCAAGGGAGCCGACAGCGTAAGTGGCCCTGACATTTCCTGGTCTCGAGAGAGCAGGACATATTATGGAGCTCACCTTTCCTATACAAGATCCCCAGAAACCCTGAGCACTCGTGTGCACCTTTCCCACCCCAGGTCATGACTTAGAACTAACTCTGCATCCTCACAAAGGCTCATCAGGGTCCTCTTTAGCAAACTCTCTCAGGTCTGAACCTGCAGCTGATGCAGGTTACCCCACTGCACAACCACTGTGCTAGAACCATGTGTATGGGGTGTGGCTTCCTTAAGGCTCCATGAACCCTGATGAAGCCTGTGTACCCACCCACTGGAGGTATTGAAGACAACCCTATGAGGGGGAACAGGGAGGGAGAGTGAGAGGGAGGGAAAGAGCACGAGCTGCACTGCCCTTTCCTCTCTTCTACCCTCTCCCACTTAAGGGGCTCAATCCCTTGAGGGCCCCCCTCTCCTAGTCTGATAACCTCCCACATGGCAATGTCCAGCTGGGAAGAAGGGTTGGGGAGGATTTGTGATGAATGCTGACACACTTGCATATTGCACTTATTCAGAAAGTCAGCGATCATTTCTGATGACATCTTCTTTAGGAATGTTAAATGCTGGTTTTGAGTAGAAAAGACAGACCAATACATTGTGAAGTTTGGAGACTACGAGGGTGGCAACCCTCAAAAATCCTGCAATGAAAAAAAAAATCCTGCAATGCAGAGATAACCAAGATGAAGGACCCTGCGTGTTTTCATATTTCTGTCTCTATTCACCTCTATAACCCATTTCATTTGTCTTTAAAAACCGTTTGAAAAAAAATACTTTGATCCTTAAGCTGATATTTCTGTTTTCATCTGAGAGCCCAAACTTGCCTTCCAACGGTAAGTATAAAAGTGGCCCCTGACCAAGCCCCGAGGCCAGCTGGCCTCCAGAGCCCAAGGCTGTCAGGTCTCTGGAGCCTGTGGTGGTCTGGAACCCAGCCTAGTGCCAGCCTCCAACACTACTCTCCAGTCCATTTAGCACTGTTGATTCAGATTGCGGGGCTCCCTCTCTTCCTCATGGAGGTGGCATGCCAGTGAGGCTTTCCTTCCACCTTTGCCCCCGCAGGTAAGAGCTGCTGCTGAAGTCACAGAAAAGTAGGCACACCCCCACTCCACTCCGTGATGAGACTACTTCATTCTCACTCTGGGCCTTGAGGATGGGGAAGAGGCCTTAGCCTGAAAGCTAAGGAAGACCAATGAACCTCCCTGGCACGGCTGCCCATCTCTAGCCATGAGGCCTTTGAACTTGCCAAGGGCTGGCATGTATGTGGGGTGGGAAGGGGAATAAGAGAAGTGAGTCCCCTCGGCTCCCTGCATTTTCATTCTAGTATACAGCAAGAACAGGGCTGTTGCCTCTGTAGCAGTTCATGGTTCTCTGGGTACTTCAGGGACACACTGGACTCATGTGCCCTGGGCTCTGGCTCATTTCAAGAACTACCTCTGGACCCCATGTGTGTAAACTCACAAGATGGGGCTAAATGACCCCACTGCTGGCAATGAAAACTCTACTGCCCCACTGCTCACTGGGACATTAAAGGTGACTCATATGTGCCCTCAGGCCACCAGAGCCGTGTGTGTGTGTGTGTGTGTGTGTGTGTGTGTGTGTCTGTGTGCGCGCATGCGCGCGCGCTCATGCTGCTCAGCAGTCTCTCTGCCTTTTACTTTGTTGGTATCTGGCTCCATTTCCCTCCCCGGCCTGGGCAGAATTCAGAAAATCCACAACCAGTGCTTGGGGGGTTCTATGTGATAAGGGGCTAGTCAGTCTGATTATATCCCCTGAACTCGAGGGCTGTGGGCAGAGCACGGCTGCCCCATACTAGCATGCCCTCCTCATCCTTGAACTTTTATTCCTTTGAGTGAGCCCAGCCTCCTTCCACACCTTTGTTCTTGCAGGTTCAATACATCTTACAGTATCTCTGAGGACCTGGAAGGGAGGCTCTTTCTGGCAGATGCTGGCCTCTGGGACCAGTCACGGGGACACCTAGAATCCATCTCCCTATTAAGAGCAGGAACATATGGTCTGGAAAAGACCTTGGGAGTGCACAGAGGACCCAGTGGTGCTGAGCATTTGGCTTCCTGAAGGTTAAGATGATGGAGATCCACGAAGTGACCAGATGGTGACTGTACTGTGAAGAGAGAATGATGCTCTGCTGTGCCCAGTCTACAGAAAAGCCCAGACCGCTGGCACGTCATTGGGGAGCAGATTCTTAAAAACAGGCACAAGGGCTGATACAGGGTGGAAGCAGACATATAGCTGGGACACTGGCTGAGGCTGGAATCAGTTAGCTTCCAGTTCTTCAGGACTGCCTAGGATTGGGTCCTGATGAGAGGGGACATCATAGCCCCACTGGCATCTTCTAAAGCAAGTGGCCTACCCTGCTCTCCTCAGTCAAGATCCCTTCTGTAATGAGGAGTTCAAGGGCTGCTGAAGGAATGGCTGTTCAAAGGCTATTGGAAGCTGGGCTGGGCATATGCACAGAGGAGCCAGAAGGAGGCCAGTGCTCAGAGGAGAGTCCACTTGAGAGCATCTGCTACGGACATTCAGGTAAACAGTGACCTAGACTGCAGTGGTCAGGACTGCATATAACACCATTTCCACTAGGAAAAGAATGTTCCCTGCCGCCCTCTTTCTCCTGGCCCCGCTCCAATCACAGCACTCACAGGGCCCAAGGGTCCATGTGGCTATCATGTAGGCAGCAGTGCTAAGCAGGGACTGAGTGACTGATGAGTGAAGGAAAGAATGAATGAGCGAAAGGACAAACAACAGAGGTACACACAGGGCCAGGTGTGCTACTACAGACCTTAGCGCCATGCCTAAGAATGCCACTGGATGGTAGCCAGGGGAGGAGCTGGTTGCTTATGGCCTTCTTTTTCAGTATGTCCCCAGGAATCCCCACTAGGACCAGGAGTTCTGGAGTCTGACCCTTAGGGCTATGGAAGAGCACCAAGGCTGCGGGACACCCATACATGGGTAGTGTCCAGACAGAGCCTAGCACATGGAATGCTCAGCCTGGGCCACCAATGAGCCTCTCTGTCCTGTGGAAAGTGTCCAGATAGGATGATTTCTTCTGGACACTTTTCAACGATAGGAACTGAAGCTTTAGCTTCAGAGGAGTGTGTACATGCAGAGGTGCATGTGTGTGTATGTGTGCTTTGTGTGGTGTAATGTATCCTTCATGCATGTGAATGCATACACCCATGAGTATATGAGTGAATTGTGAATGTGTCCACCTGTGTGCATGTGTGAGATTTGTGTTTAGTGTGTGTACACAGAAGTGTAATTGTGTAACTGAGTATGTGCATTGAGTGTAAGTACATATACATGTGTGAGTATAACTATGTGGGTATACAAATAAATGTGTGAATGTGTGTGTGAGAGAGTCTGTGCATATATACATATAAGACTGTAACCATGGCCACGTCTGTACAAAGACTGTGTAACTGCACATGCACACATAAGACTATGTAACTTCGTGTACACATGTACTTGCAAGAGTGGCTCCTAGGCATGAGTGGAGATCTATCCTGAAGGACAATGGAAACCTGTATCTTAGGGATGGTCTTCATCACTGGATTTCCCTATGTGTCCTCAGACCTCAAGTCACTAAGATGCCTTTCACCACCTGAAGTGACATGTCTTCTTGGATCCCTGATGGTAGCCCAAGAAGTATTAGGACATGGAGTACATACATGTGGGTGAATTCCTGATGGGAGGATAGATACCTGGGGTAGATGGACTGACAGGAATCACAATGATACATAGAAGGAGGGTTCAAAAATGTCCAAGGCCTGAGGCTGCACTGGTGCAATACTCTCAAATATCACCAGATGGAGCCGCATGCCCATCTCAAGACTTCAAGCAGGTCTTGGGCTTCCAGGTCCATAACTCATACTGCAGGCCTAGGGGCTCCCAGGTCCCCTGGAGCTGGCTTGGACCAAGTGCTCTGGGTGCCAGCTGACAAAAAGAAGGGAGGGAGCAGGAGGGGTACTTTCTAAACCTGGGTATACGCCCACATATGAAGAAGTATAGGAGTGAATTATCAGTGTGTCTACCTGTGTGCCTGTGAGAGTTTTGTTCAGTGTGTGCACAAACAGGTGTGACAGTGTAATTGTGCATATGAAAAACGTGAATGGGGCAGAGACCCCTGACTCCAGCTCCCTGGGCCCTGAGTCTCCCAAAGGAGGGAGGCCTTGCTGAGGCCACACTCACCTTTCCAGCCCTGCAGGCATCTCTTCACTAAACTCTGAGCTCTCACTACTGCCTGGAAAAGGAACACAGATCAGTGAGCATGGCAGCCTCGAGGAGAGGGGCCTGTTCTCCTGGGCTCCTGGTCACTAGGCCCCAGTCCTCAAGCTCATGGCATTCTGACCCTGTGGGTCACAGAAGGACTTGAGTTTCTGTGGTTGTGGCTGCCTTTTTCTCTGGGAGGGTTTGAAGAACTTTGAGCCCCACCATGCTCAGGAGTGTCTTCTGCTCCCTTCCCACTGCCTATCCTCTGGTTTGTGGTACCAGGATCTCCTACAGCAAGGATCCTCGGGTGTGTCTGCCCTACTGCCTACCTGCTGCCTAAGGGCCTCACCTGCTGAGGGCACAGGCTGAGTGAGCTCTTCTGGCCCAGGGTCAGGGCTGGTCTAGATGTATCTGCCTGCACAGAAGAGACCCCAAGGAGCCACTGCAGCCCCTGGACCACAGAGACACTGCCAAGGCCTGTTGTGATCCTCTGCCTTCCTAGTTTCTTCCAGGCCCACACTGGCTCTCTAAGCCTGTGCCCTGGAGTTAAATGAGCACCCTGCTTCCCTCCAGGGTTGTGCATCTATGACCTTTGTATTGTTCTGGACTTTGCAGGCTCTAAAGTTCAGGGCTCTGCCAGAAAGAGCTCTAAGACTGAGCAGTCAGAAAGGCAAGGGAGGAGCCCTGGCTAGAGCAGGGCCCCTCATTCCCTGCTGTACGGGTGGGGAGCAGCCCAGCACTACCTCCATCAGGACACACACCAATGTCTTGAGCTCCCTGACTTGAGCCAGAGCCAATCAAACTTATGACCCCCCCCCACCCAGATGTGTGACAGCACAGCCCCTGACTCACTCGTGGGTCAACAGCCCAGAACTCAGGCACAGCTCAGAGTTTCCTGGATGTCGAGCAGCAACTCAGGGCACAGGTGTGCACTCATGGGCCCTCATAAGAACCCATGTCCCATCATAAACTCTGAGACGATGTCCGTGGGCAGGACCTAGCATGCTGGAGGTTATCAGTGCCCAGGAGCAGCACAGCGAAGGCTTGGGGAAGAGGTTTGATTCCCTTTCCCCAGCCTGGGAGCCTAAGATGCACTGTCTACACTTCCTGCACTGTGTCTAAACAGGGTGACCTCCTCTGAAGGCAGAAGGCGGATTTGGGACTTGTCACAAACTTCTAGGAGGCAGTTGTCCTTGACAGAAGTTATTCATGACTCCCAAGACTAGCCTAACATCACAGGGACATGTGGCATGACACGCCAACCTGGTGTTCCTCCAAGTCCCTGGCCCTTTGCCTCACTGTCTTTATCAGATCAACTGCAGCTGGACAAATGTCATCCCACTACCAGACCTGGGGGAACTCACTGGTATTGGAAGCAGACAAACATACAGGCTCACTGAAAGGCAAAGGCCATCAATGGTGCACTGGGCTGGTGACAGCAATCACATTTGTCATTTGTCCTAGGTGACTTGAGCTCTGTAATGGAACAGTTCTCTGAATGTATCTCCATGCTAGCCCCAGTCCTAATGTTGACATCTCTCTGCTGGCATCAGCAGCCCTGTTTTTGTAACTCCATGGACACAAGCTCCTTCCTGCCACTGTCCAGTACTGCAATGCCATCTCTGATGTTCACATCCTCATCCTCCCTTCTGGCTCCTCTGGGTAAAGACAAGCACATAGTAGGAAGCAGTGGCCCACCCACCTACTGCTCTGAGCAGGGCTTTAGGCTCCCTTGATGTAAATGCTGCCAAGGGAGCATCTGGCCTCAGGGGGTTGTGGTGGACTCAAGTCCAGCTTTCTTCTTTAACCTGACTGTCCATTCGGGGACCATCAGAAGGAGAAGGTCAACCCAGAATTCTTTCCTGCAGCAGGAGACTCCTGTAGGGAGCCATTCTTTAGGGGTGAGGGGCCACTGGGCACAGCACAGTGACACAGAGACAGACACGGAGCACATACTGGGCCTGCTGCCCCTGCCTGTGTGTACAGGCCAGAGACGCTTACCTAGGGAGAGTCCGTTGGTGATGGCGGTGGAGGAGGTGAGGGTGAGGCCCCTGCGGGGGCTGCGGGACTCTAGGACGCTGTCGTCCAGCAGGTGCCTGGCCTTCTCCGATGGGAATGTTGCACTCTTACTTTCAACTACACTCAACTGACACATCATACTGGAAAACGGAGAGGGAGAGAGAAGGCAAAGCTCCTTATCCTGGGAGCAGAGTGGCACACTGGCCCTGGGGGCCGGAGCCAGGGACTAGCTGGTGGAGACACCTCTGCCCAGAGACCACTGGTGGCCCAGGCTCTGCCCCTTCGCATGGTGTGACCTTGGGCAAGTCACATCTTTTTCCTGAGCCTCAACTTCTTCATCTGTCAATAGAGACTAAAGCTGTTTGCCCTGCCTGTCTCCCAGGATGATGGTGAGGCTTGTGAGATGAGGCCAAAGTGAAGGGCAGGCGCCAGGGCATCCTGAGAGTATCAGCGCTTTGTGACCTTACTGGAGCCACAATGTGCATGGCAGCAGCTGCTCAGAGATTTGCATGGTTCGGTGAGATGGTGTCTACAGGTGTGTGGCAATGTCTAGAAAAGAGGAGGTACCAGGGACCCAAAGCAACTTTGGCCTCCTGCTCCTGCCTCTGAGGTCCACTAAGGCCAGCCAAGAAGCATGACATTTGTGCTTTAGTGCTAGGATGCAGGCTGAAGGGAGGGAGGGGAGGAAGGAAGGGAAGAGGCAGAGGTGATGGAGGAAGGGTGCACCATTTGGAAACTGTGACCAATGCCCAGGGAGTGGGCCCCACAGGGCCAGTGAGTCAGCAGGTACTCTGAGACACCCTGTTGCCCTGAGCACAGGCACTGGTGTCTGCTGGACTCAGTTCCCCCTAAATGAGCTATTGACCGAGTTTGGGCACATTTCTTCACTAGCTACAGAGCCTGGATCTCTGATGGAGGCACACAGACTCTGCTGCCAGCCGCTCATCTGCATTCCCAAGCTCACACCAGCCTCAAGAGAGTGTCTGCCAGGAAAGCAAGAGTTCCCAGATGGGGTGGGGAAGGACCCAACACTCCTTCAGCCCAGAGAGGGTTGCTCAGTCACCCACTTGTTGCCCAGGCTGTGGCTCTTCCTGTGTCTGGGGACTGGTGGCGTGGGAAGGCTGCCAGCCACAGACGTATCAGGACAGGTGGGCCTCCGGCGGAACCTGGCTGAGCTGGAGCCAGCAGAGGGGCCTATGAAAAGAGCAGAGGGAGAATGATGGCAGGGGTTGTGGGGGCGAGAGTAGGGTAGAGGCTCAGGGGAATTGTGGTTCAGGGTGGGGACCTTTCCCAGCTGTCTTGGGTAGGACAAAGATCACACGAAGCCAACAGCAGCTTCCTACTTATTGGATGCTTAACCTTTCGTCCCGTATCACTAACTCCCAGAGAGAAGGCCTGGGATGCCCAGGTCTAGTAGCTGGGCAGCCAGCTGATGGCCCATCCATAAGAGTAGAACCAGAGGCCTGTCCTTAAAGCGAAGGTCCTACCTGGACTTCACAAGTCCAGAGGGTATAGAAGGGGTATGGAAGGCCTTGAGGCAGGCTGGCTGGAACTGCATCTACACCTGTGTCTACACGCATGTCCCTGGTCAGGACTTGCACACTCTCATTGGCTGCTCTGAGGTTCGTCTGCATGTCCAACACAGGACATAACTCATCTGGCCGGATGAGTGGTCCCAGGGAAGCTTGGGTGGCCCTGCAGTGCCCTGGGGAGGACCCTCTGGTCTACCCCTGAGGACACAGCTCCTGCAGTGCACTGCTTTGTTTTGCTTTTGCCCCAAGAGAAGATTACAGAGGGCGGAGCCCCTTGTTTAATCAGCAACCATAGGAGGGTGGCAGATGACAACCTCACTGCTTAAATCTCAAGGACCCTCTGCAGGAGGCCCAGGTGATCAATTTGGTCATTTGCACACCTGGCACCGTGCCCTGGGTCGAGTAGCAAGTCTTGAGGTATGTAATCTTAGTTGCTACATTAGACAGAAAAGAAGGCAAGCATATAGATCCCGAGGCAGTACCCGGTGTGCAGCGGGTTTGAGGGGTTGTGGGAGGAATGCTGGGGATTCAGAGTCCAGGTGCTGGGCGGATGTTCTTGAAAATGGAAAGGGAGACAGACCCAGCATCCCCTATGTACCAGTTGTGAGCAGCACTGTACAAACGCTCATGCCTCCAGCATACTGGATACAGGGAGGTGGGGGAACCCTAGAGGTGTAACATGGTCACAGGGCCAAAGTCGGCCACTGCCAGCATTTGTCACTCACTTGGCTCCATGTTGCTCTTGCCTTCTAGCTCTGTTCATGCTCATGCTCTCGCAAGCCTTTCAGAATTCCTTTGGCAGTTTCCACTCAACTCCAGATTCTCTCTCCAAGGCTAGGCCTGGATTCGACCCTTTCCTTCCCGCTGTGGAGCCCTGGGAGGCATGCCTGGCCTCAGATGCCCCTGGACTGGCTGGGGAGGGTGGGCGGGGGCCCCAGAGGAAGAGCCTTGGCCTCTTGGCCTGTGTCAGGGCTGCTGCTGCTCTCTGGGCAATAGGTCTTCTCCTCCTCCCCAACATTCTCCCAGCATTGTTGATCAACAGCCTAGATCTGACGCGGAAACAGAAGAATTTCCATTCGGCTGGGACCCAGATGAGGGGCCTTTCTGCCAGTAAGTGACACCCTCTGCTACCAAAAGGCCTCATGCTTCTGCTCCCTCCAAATCTGGGGTGGCCCCATGTGGCAGTGCCAGGACATGTGCCTTATGAGCTGGGTGGCTGGCAAGCTTGTTGGTCAAGTCCTCAGGCAGGGCAGGAGTGGTGATGAGTTGGAGCTCTGGACTCCACGGCAGAGCTCAGGCCCCACTGCCCAGCCTGATATGGCAGGGACAGCTGGAAAACCTGACCATGTGGTTTGACTATCTCAAAGGATTGCTCTATTTTTCCTCAGCATAAGTTTTCCATGAATAATCTTTAAAACTCTTTAAGTGGCTGTTTCTTTAGCAGTTTTATTGGATCATATGAGAATTGACAGGTTCTGTAGGCAACCAGATATGTTAAAAAAAATCTGGTTGTCATTACAAGAAACCAACATACTGCCCAACAGATCATTGATTGAAAGAGGAAAAACAAAGCAAAACACCTGGCTTTTTAATAATAGTCTTGGAGTGGCCAGAATCCCAAATGATGTATGGTGACAGAAAGGGACACTGATCCTGCAGGCAGGAAGGTCCGGGCTCTCATCTGTGTCTGTGCTTACAAGCTGAGTGCCCTGAGTCCTGGATCTACATCTGTAAACAAGGGATGAGGAGCCTGTCCTTTGTTGTCTCCCTGTCGAGAGCTAAACAGTGTCTTTCAGCCACAAATGTTTAGGAAGCCCAGACATTGGAGCTGCCCCTGCCCAAGCACTGGAGCTACATCATAGATCAGAAAAATCATGATCTTCTGCTTGATTGGAAGTAGCAGTCAACCCTCAAGAAGGGAAGGGGCCACCAGGAGGCTGCACCCGGTGGGAACACAGGCTGATAGGAGGATAGTCATGATCAGAATGGCGAGAGCACCAAGTCCACCAAAAAGTGGATACTATGATCTCTAACACCAACCTGGCACCTGCTCACCACCAGAACTAATGATATACACTTTGTCCACTTGGCCCCATTTAAGCATCACAGTAGCACAGAACTTTGGGGAACATAAGGGAGGGGTCAGAGAAGACTTCTGGAAGCTTTGACACCCTGCCTGGTACAAGAGCCTGGCACAAGCCCTGACCAAGGCAGAAGGAACAGCATGTACAAAGCCCAGAGGGAAAGGCAGCAGGGCCCCAGCAGAGCCTTGAGCTCACAAGAGGAGGTCTGGTGATGTGCTCAGACTCGAGTCTTACCTCTTGCTGGAGAGTAACTAGATGTGGTTAAGCCTGGAAGCTGCAGGTTTTGAGGCAGAGATATGCATAAGAAGTGTCCCAGGGATGGCCAGGCAGAGATGTGGAGGGAACTGAGAGCAACCCTCTGTATGGAGTTGTGGATTGCTTCCATCCCAATGTGGTATGATAGACCACGTCCTCCTGAAAGGTTGCTGTGAACACCCTCAAAAAATTACTTCATTCAACTGCCGCCTGAGATGAACCTAGCAGACAGGTTATACCCTGAAATACCTAAATAACAGCGTCCCCATTCAGCAGGAAGCAGTTTGGAGAGAAAAAACTGCGCCCATATTCCCAAATATTGTTTATAAATATTCTTTTACATTTAAAGGGGAATGTGATATAGATATGAATAATTTGCATTGATATGGATTTTGCTTTAGTGATTTAAATTTAAGGTCAATTTTGTTATATGTATATGTGTTTCTGATCTTGATTAAGGTATTGTGATTGTGTAATGTATATAGGTTGTTAATGGATAATCATTAATAATAGTCGAGTTTGTAGTCATGTTAGTTAGATTTTCTAGATATATATATATTTCAGTTAGATCGGCATTCTTCATATCTTTCAAAGACTACGTAATATGCTATTAAATGTTTTAATAACTTAGGACTTTTCATGACAATGAGACACTCTGCTCCTGGCAGCACCAATCTACTTCAGGAAGAAGATGGGCATAGAAGAGGATCCTTATGGAATTTTATAGCCATTTGGGCAAGAAACTGCTCTTGCCTGGACTATTGCATAAACTGGACACAGAGAACCCGCAGAGAGAGGACTACTGAACTTGCCTAAAGGTGAGATGATCTTTCGGGGTTCCTGATTCATGAAAGAGTCTGCAAGACATTCTTCAGGACAAGCAGATAGTGACTGCTTCATGGAAATGTCTGCTGGAAACTATGGGCCTGTAGGTCGAAGATGGATGCCCCAATGGTACAGAGAAACTTTGGGTGACTGTCCAGGCAGTGAGATGTCTCTGTCATTTCTAGAGTTTTGGATTTCTTGTTTGCTTGGGTAATATTATATCCTTCTGGAGTCTTTGATGGAGTTAAAGAATATATAGATAGTTATAGTTTTCCTTAGTTATGAAAAAGATAAAATAGATGTAAATATTGTAACTTTTACTTGATAACTGTTTTGTTTTATGTAATTTTGCTATGTTAAAGTTAAAGCCTTCCTTTTTTTTTTGTTTAAACAGAAAAAGGGGAAGTGATGTGGGAATGTCATATATCAATCTGTTGATTTCATTGGTTAAGCAATACAGAAACTGCTTGGCCCTGATAGGTTAAAACATAGGTGGGAGGAGTAAACAAAAGAATGCTGGGAGGAAGAGGAAGTGAGCTCAGAGACGCCATGCTCCCCTCTCCTGGGCAGACGCGATAGCTCTGCTCTCTGAGGCAGATGCAATGAACTCTGACCCAGCATGGACGTAGGCTAGAATCTTCCCGGTAAGACTGATGCTACTCAGATTATTAGAGATGGGTTGATCAGGATGTGAGAATTAGCCTGTAAAGGCTAGAGTTAATGGGCCAAGCAGTGTTTAAAAGAATACAGTTTGTGTGTTGTTATTTCGGGGCATAAGCTAGCCAGGCAGCCGGGGTAATGGGGATGCAGCCCTGCCGCTCCTATTACAACATGGAGTAGTGTGCACTTGGGGCACAAATCTAGGGGGACATGAAGAAGTCCAATATGGGGCCAATGTCTGGAGGCCACTGGGTAGAGGGGCAAAGTGGTTAGTGCTACAAGCAGAGCACAGTGTGGATAAAGGAACCTCTTCTCGTGGATTTCTGGCCAGGCCCTGTTCTGGGCCAATACTGTCCCATTCCAGTTGGGCTTTCCAAGTCTTACACATTTGGAAAATAATGGGAGGCAGCTGTGGCAGAGAGGAAAGTAGCAAGTTGAAGTCACAAGACTTGGGTTCCAGTCCTGCCTCTAGCCCCAGCTGGACGGGCTTATGCCATCTCCTCTGAGGCACGGCAACTGTGCCATCGGGAGCTCTGGCCAGTGCAACTCTGAGCCTCCAGTGGCCAGGATAGGCTGTCACCCAACCAAAGGTTCAGAGTCCTCTGCTTCCTACCTGTTTACAAGGTACTTCTGTGTCTGCCAGAGCCCTGCAGCTCTTGGGCCACTGGCCCCTCTGCAGGCTTTGCGTGGAAACTTTTCTATAGCCAGGTCTCTGGCTGGGCCTGGGAGCCACTCATTTCTATGTTCACACACATTCTGCTTTTCACACACACAGTTCTCATGGGTCTCACTGAGAGCCAAGATCTGTCTCTGCGCAGAAGGTCCAGCTCACTTCCTT